TATTAAACAATATATTTATTTCTTTTTTATTGTCTGTTTAAAATTTTTAAAAATTTGGTACAAAACGCAGATAATAGCATTATTGATCTAGAAGAAAATCATTTCAGAATTTATGCATGACAATTAGTTTTAAAGCTGTTATTATGACATAAAAAATTTATAATCCTTGAGCTAGAATTTGCCTCTATTTCGAAAAATATTTTACAATATTTAAACTTTACTTTAAATTTATAGAGACCCTTGCTTACAAAAAAAAATTTATTTTAATTAAGCCTTTTTGAAAAAAAAAACTATTGAGCCTAAGCCCATCCTATAACCCAACGTCCGAATTAAATTCCGATCCCAACGAGGATTTAGAAATTTTTATAGAGGAGCACAGAAGTACATTATATGGATGGAAATTACTTCGAAACACACTAAATAGGCATGAAATTCAGATAATATTTTCATGAGTTATTAGATCAGTGCCGGAAATTAATAGCCGCAGCTTATATTTACAAGCAATTTATATTTTATGATCAGTTGTAAATGTAGAACATTAAATGCTTCCAAATCAATGATAAAAGTGGTTTTCAATAAAAAAGAACAAGATACAGTTTAAATGGAACAGATACTGTTTTCACGTAAATTATACAGTATAACCCAGAGTTATTCGTCCATGATTAATTATGTTTTATAATATTGCCATGATATAATACATAATATTCTGATAATCAAAGGGTATAATAACATATTGTATGAAATTATCAATTTGTAAGAACATGTTATATGTTATGAATGAACTAGTAATGTTTATGAACTTAAGAATATGTTATCAACGTTTGCAAGCATAGCTTACTAAATTTTCTAAGTCATTTATTTGTCACTCGAAAAAAAGGGTTTAAAAGAAAAGATTCTTTTTTCAATGGATAGGTGGGATAAAACAGATAATTTATAGCTCAAAATATGTAATTTTTAATAAACCCTTTATAATTATAGTTATGTAATTATATTAGCTATATATCATACTATAAAAAAAATTTGTTTTCTGTAGCATGAGATTTTTTTTAACAAATCTTGGATATTTTCACGTCACTGTCATCTGCATTCGGTTTCTCTCTCTAAGCTAGATTTCTTAATTAATATTTTTTGTCTACTTTTTGTCAAAATGTACAAATTTAGAAACGTTACATATAACAGGGTTTGGCATAAATGTTTCGAATAACTTCTAGGGGAGTAAGGGCATATCATCAGGAAAAAAACTGCATCGAAAATGACGCCATATGATGCTAGGTGCTTCCCTGTTATAAACTAAGTCTTCCCGTGCTTCTGAATAGGTAATGATAGGGAAAATGCCCCTAGCAGCGCAAGATGTCTCCCCTGGCATGGGTTCCACTTTTGATCCTGATGTTGTACTGTTGCTCCCCTGGATGTCAGTCACAACTAGAACTGGGCGATATAAGAAAATTTATATCGTGATGCATCGTCAGTTTTGCATCGCGATATAGCGATGTATCGCGATATAGTATTTTTGAAATTCATTTACTTGTAAAGCGCAAAAAGTCGGATTTCTATCAAAACTTCATACTCAGATTGATTTAAATCAATTTATGAATTTGATGTATATGTTTTGCTTAAGAAAGATATTAATGTTATATTTTCTAAAAATGATCGCGTAAATAACGAAAGATTTCTTAGTTTAAAAATAAATAATAAAAAAATAAATCAAATTGAAATTTATCGATATATTTACCTAACAATATAGAAAGAAAATTTAAAAAATAAGTTCGTTAAAAATGATTTGTATGCTTAAAACAAAGTGCTAAATAAATTAAACAAAAAAAAACACTTTTAAAACAACACTATTTTTTATCATTATTATTTCACATAAATAATAAAGTTAAATTGAATAATTACCGAATTCTGAACGAAAAAACAAAGTAAGGTTTAATTTCTTAAAAATAAAAACAAAAGAATTATGATACTCGATAATATATTCAACTGACAATACTGAAAGAAAATTAAGAAACACGATTGTACTCTTTAATAAAACGAAGTGATAAATGATTTTAAAAAAAGAAGTCGCGATCGCAAACATTACTAATTTTTTTGAATAAACAAAGTTGATTGACTTATGTCCAAATCCAAACGAGGAAAAATAAGATTTGTAATAATTTCATCCATAAAAATGAAAACAACTAAAGATTTATAAATTTAAAATCAGTAATTAAAACCCATTAAATTATTATTTTACCCAAAAAGTTTTTTGTAAAAAATAGCCTAACAAATTTAATTACTTTTTAATTTAATTCTTTATGGGCACCTTAAATTAGATTTCCGTTTGTAATAAATTCAATAATGTAAAATAATACTTAAACATATAATATCAATAAGTAACAACTTGAACATATAATATCAATAACATATAATAATAATAAAAGGACAGTTTTGTTTTTTAAAAAAATTACCTAATTAATTAAGAAACACTTCTTTATATATTCTTTCCAATCGTAGATTACGTTCAGAACAAGGTAACGACGGCGATCACACTGAAAATAATCTACAAGAAACGATATCAAGTCGCGACAAAGAAGAAAAAAAAACTAAGAGGTGCGGAAACGAACATGCGAGATCACGATATATGTTCTCAAAACTGATTCTGATTCTACCGCTCATCAATCAAGGCCGTTTCAATATAACGATACGAACATCGTCTTCCCCAGCACGAGTTGGCATCGGAACGTAAGAGATCCTTTCGTGTCTTATATCGCTAAATCGTATATCGCTATATCGTTCGTCTTCTTTACTCGACGGCTTAAATCAGATTTCTGATGCATCGCCTGGAACGAAAGTCGCTGTATCGGCCTGCCGATTCAGGCGTCAAATTGATATGTCGCGATATATCGATTTATAGCCCAGTCCTAGTCACAACATTTATGGAACACCTGTTATTGATAACGTTTTAAAACTAACACATTTAGACAAAATATAGACTAAAAATGTAATTTCAAAACAAAAATCTGCAGTATTAGAAGCAAGACTAATTTAAGATTTGAAATCCCCACACCGAATTAGGCAAGATCAAGTATTTCCACAAATACAACAAAAAATTTGTCCCACAGTGTTATCCATATTTAATAACAATATCATAATACAATTCATATTGAAAACAGATGGAGTTGTAATGAAATAATTAACAACAAAGAACCCTTTAAACAAAGAAGAATTATTTCATTTACCATTTTTTTAAGAATAATCCTTTTTTTTTTTTCATTTGAAAAAATTTCACTTGAAATTTTCTCCAAAATTATCTGTTGTAATCAGCTATCCAAAAAATTTCCCAGTCCTTTCTAATGTACAAAATGTAAAATGAAAGAGTTTCAAAATTAAAAAAAACATGTATCTACATTGTAAAATTTGTTGCATTGCACTGACGTACTTTTTCACTTTTTTCGCTGAAATTTTTGCTTTAGAATTACGAGAAAAAAATATTTACTTTAATTTTCTTTTCATAAAATCAAGATTCAAAATTTGCTCTAATTCAAAAACAGTTTTCATTTTTTCGGCAGCGTCAAAACATGCAATAATTATTTGTAAATATTAAATAATTATTATGAGGCCTAATCAATAAGAAATTGCAATATCAATATTTGTAAAATCATTTTTATGACAATTGTGGAATTTTGATAATAAGTCATATGCTTCTTAATAAATAAGATAATAGATATTAATAATTTCAAATTATTTCAAAATGTTACTTTTCATAAAAATTCAAATATAGTAATTATTTGCGTTTTTCTATAATATCGCTTAAGGATTTGTTGATAATAACTGTAACAGTAATTATTATAACAAATGTAATAGTAAATGTAATAGTATTATAGTAATCATTTATTATAAAAATGTAATAATTATTTATCTATCATGAATAATTAGTTGGAATTCTAATCAGCAGTGAGCACAATATCAAATTTTGCAAATCCACTTAGTATTTTTTAGGGAATTGTTTATAATAAATCATAAGTGTCTTAATGAGTAAATAATTCTCTATTTTACTTCTTGTTTAAACTTTTTTTGCAAGAAAAATCATTTGTTGTTTTCTTAATGAATGATCAGGATATAGTAATATAGTAATTATTTATCATGAAAATGTAGTCATTATTTATCTGTATTGCATAATTAGTAATTATTTATCTATATTGCATAATTAGTAATTATTCTATCATGCGTAGTTAGTAATCAGTAGTGAACATAAAATCAAATTTTGAAAATCCATTTTGTATCACTTAAGAATTTTTGATAATAAATCATACGTGTCCTAATAAGTAAATAATGCTTGATTGTACTTTTTGTTAAAACTTTTTTGCAAGAAAAATCAAATAGTATTATCTTAACGAGTGATCAGAAATATAGTAAAAAAATAATTATTTATTATAAAAATATAATAATTATTTATCTGCACTGCATAATTAGTTGGAATTCTAATCAGTAGCGAGCACAAAATCAAATTTTGGAAATCCATTTAGTATCGCTTAAGGATTTATTTATAATAAATCATAAGTGTCTTAATAAGTAAGTAATTCTCAATTATACTTTTTGTACAAACTTTTTTGCAAGAAAAATCAAATATTATTCTCTTAAGGAGTGATCAGTAATACAGTAAGAGAGTAATTATTTATTATAAAAATATAATAATTATTTATCTGTATTGCATAATTAATTGAAATTCTAATCAGTAGCGAGCACAAAATCAAATTTTGGAAATCCATTTAGTATCGCTTAAGGATTTGTTTATAATAAATCATAAGTGTCTTAATAAGTAAATAATTCTCAATTATACTTTTTGTACAAACTTTTTTGCAAGGAAAATCAAATGTTGTTATCTTAACGAGTGATCAGGAATTTCCAGACTCTTCAAGCACACGCAAGCAAAAGAAAGAAAGCAATTCTCTTTCTTTTACAACTAGAAAGATTGCGTTGCGCAAAAGAAAATGAAATTTCTTTCCTCTTAGAGCTATAAGTGTTTGGAAGGAAGTGCTTTAAGTAAGCACTTAAAATTCTCTGTTTACATTAGAATGTCAGCAGAGGCGACAAATTATTATTTTTTAAGCTAGCTTGAGGATAACTCGAAGTGATTACTTCATTTAAATGTGAAGATTTGAAGGACTAAATTTCCAAAATGTGCAGTTTTTACTTTTTGAAAGTTATTTTGGTGGCCGTTGAGAGCTTCTTCATTGGAAGCAATGCTCAGAACATCATATTTAGAAATGAAGATGATATTGATTTCATGGAGAGCAATTCCATACAATCTCCAAGAGTAAGACTTTTTTTAATTACCAATTCAGTACTTTTCAAAACCACGTTTTAAATTTTTCTCATTTTATTGGAATTAAAATTAATTAAAAGGCTTTAATTTTCTGCTCTTATAGATTTAAGTTCAAATTAAGAGGTGTTTGTTTATATTTCTTTAAACTCCATTATTAGTAGGATAGGGGAAGCAAAATTATCTTCTTATTTTATAAATGCTATTTGAAACTTAAATGACAGTGACTTTTTGTGAGGTAAAATCTGTTAATTAATAAATAGAATGTTATTATAACTCTGCTAATAATCAAGACCACCAAAGTGTCACTCACTAGTTGCTTTCATTTATGATTCACTGATATATTCTAGTACAAAAAATAATGATACATAAAAGAATTTTTATCTATTTAAAAACTGCTATGAAATTATAGATTATTAAAGGCTGCTATTTTTGTGCGCAACGTGTCATTATTCTATAGGTTTGGCTAAGAGTATTTAAAAATTGAATCATTTTATTAGGGCTAATTGAATCTCTTCATTAAGGCTTTTATTAGACTTTTTATTCTCTAAAATTTCTAATAAGCAGGTTATCGACCTAGAATCTGTATAGATTAATGATATAATGATATCTAAAACAAAAAATAATAATTGAAAGAATTTCTATCTATTTCAAAACTGCTATGAAATTATAAATTATTAAACGCTTCTATTTTTGTGAGTAATGTGTCATTAATCTCTATTCTTGGCAAAGTGTAGTTAAAAACTTATTCTTTTTATTAGGGCTGATTGAATCTCCTTATTAAGACTTTTATTAGGCTCTTTATTGTCTAAAGCTTCTATCAAGCTGGTTATCAGCGCATGATCTTCATAGATTAATCATAAAATGATTTCTAGCACACACAAAAAAAAATTATAATAAATAAAGAAATTTCTATCTATTTCAAAACTGCAATGAAAATATGCGTTATTAAATTATGCTAATTTTTGCGCGTAATGTGTCATTAATCTCAACGTTTCGTCAGAGTGTCTTTAAAAATTGAATCTTTTTATTAGTGTTGCATTTATGAGACATATGTATGTTGGAAATAGCTTTGTAATATTTCACAAATTCTAAGCTCTCATGCTCAAAATAATTTTTTCATCATGAAACTATAATCTATGTATATTAAACAATAATACCAGGCAAATTTTCTGCAACTTTAATAAGGTGCTAAATGGGATTTAAAAGGGAAGTACAATATTGTGCAATCAAGTTCAAGAAAAATTAATTTGCCTGATAATAGGGTTCAGTTTAGCACTGTATTTAAAATGTTGCAAATTATACTATATTGTGGTTCAATGTGGTCTAAAATTTCTAACAAGCAAGTTATCGACAAAAAATCTTTATAGATTAATGATATATTTTTTTAATAAATTAAATGCGTAAAATATCCATTTACTAGATTGTATGTATATGAATAAAAAATACATATATTGTTAGGAAATCGAAAAAGATTAATTAAATAATCTTTATATGAAAGGAATAAAAAATAAGTGTTAAATTGAACATTGTTTGCATTTAAGTTGAACCAAATTATATGATTAAATTTTAGAAGGATTAATTTGCAAGATAATGTGGTTAATGTTCACCACAACGTATGGCAGCGTATAAGTTTTTCAGCAAATTTGAACAATATTACGGTTTTACCAAACACTAAAATTTTCAAGAGTGTAACTTACAATAATGTGAAATTACAATAAGTGTCTTAATAAGCTTTATTAAACAATTTTATATTTTAAAAGGACAATAAAAAAAATAATTTTTGAAAAAAAAAAGCATTTTTTGCGTCTTATGAATTTTAAAAAATTAAAAAATTTTATGTATAAAATTATTTTATGTATTTTGAACATTTATCAGCAAAATACTTATTAAGTTATTTGATAAAAATATACCAATGTTGAGCTTTAAAGGAGATAGTTTTATTTATCGTCATTTCATTGATCGTGTTCTTTTAAAGTATCTTTAAAATTTTTCTATGGAGCTTGTTTTGTAGTACATTTCTTTGGCGAAAAGACTTCTTCATTTGATTCTCTAGAACTATAACATTACTTTTTTTAACTAAACTAACAAAAAACTAAACTCAGTGGCGCGGCAGCCCATAGAGGGCCAAGGCCTACTGTGCCCATCTCAGTTTTCTTGACCTTGGGCTCTGGGGTGCAGGAGCAGATGTTCCGGTTAGGTGGTCAGCCGAACGCGAAACCCCCAGTGTTTAGCTCCCAAGCATGCTTGGTACTCATTTATCGACCCACTGAAAGGATGAAAGGCTGAGTCAACCTTGCCCGGCCCGAGGATCGAACCCAGGATCTGTGGCACGGGAGCGCTACCACTCAGCCACCGGGCGAATTTTTTTAACTATCAAATTAATTTTTTGCATATTAATTGAAATTATGTGTATATGTTTGTTAGTATCATCTGGATGTTTATAATTTTGCCATCAAAAATTTATTATCAATTTTTAGGTTTTTGCTTTAATCCCTCTACTCCACACCCATCATATTATAAAATTCATATTTTTAAGATTTTATCTTCCATAAAGGGATAAGAGACCTTCAAAATTACCAAAGTTTCAAAAAATTTCTAAATAGTAACGAAAATTTATGATTGTTATTTGGTATTGATTTATTTATGGTTAAATTAGTTTTTAAAGATCTGGTCAAAAATATGTTCTTTAATATCTGGTCAAAAGGATCCAGACAACCACCTAAAGTATTGGAAGCATCATGGAGTGGATGTGTTTTTCGTGGTTTGGCCTTGGTTCTCGTATGGTTGGAGATGCAAAATCTGGGATGTAGGTAAACATTCTGAACAGTGCTGCTCTTCCGACTCTATGGCAATACTTTGGAAAAACTCATTTCCGAGGAGGCAATCAAACTATGACTTTCTCAGCTATGGTTGACGAAATGGGGAATCAAAAACTGGCCTTCTCAAATCTCCAACCTAAATCTCACAGAACACTTTCAGGAAAGCAGAATACGAGCCAGCTAAATCTACTATCCTCACTGCAAACACTAACTTTTTCTTCAATGGATGCCTTGGACTCAATTCTTGAGGCCATCTATCAGAAACTGGTGGGAAGTCTCCCTAGACGCAATTGGTAGAAAGTTTCCCCACATGGTTTGACCTTGGTTCTTCATGTGGTTGGAAACATGAAATATGAAATGTATGTAAACATTCTGAACAATGCTGCTATCCCGACTCTAGGCAAATATTTTGGGGAAAACCTATTTCGAGGAAGGCAATCAAATCATGATTTAAGCAGACATGGTTTGATGAAATGTGGGTTCAAGAACAGGACCGGCGTTCTCAAAACCCCGATCTCTATCTCATAGAACACTTTTAGAAAAGCAGAATAAGTAGCAAGTCAAATCGACCATCCTCACCGCAAGCACTTACTTCAGCTGTGATGGATATCTTAGAAGTCAATTCATGTGGCCACCTACCAAACACCGGTGTAAAATCTCCCCAGGAGGCCACTGATGTAAAAAGGAAACCAATATCATAGCAATACAAAACCTCAGGACTCTCCAAGTCCATACAACTGGGTGTCCAGAATCAGTTTTGTCAGATAATATATTATATGATCCCTGTAAAATATTTTTAACAATTCTTTTATTTAGTACTTCGTATCAAAATTTTTATTCATTTTCCTAAGAGTTTGATACAAGTTTCGTGTAATGATTTAAAAGGAGTGTTTATTAAAATAATCATTACCAACGTTTTGTTGTGTTTTCAATGCATCGAAAAGCAAGATTTGCATAACAAAAAAATGCATCATATAAATTTGTTTTTTTTTTCATTTTGTTTTTCTTAAACTGCTAAAGTTTAAAAAAAATGTTCCTTGCATCAGTTTATATACCTGTTATGCGACTACAGATAAAACTTGTTCTTCAGTTTATATTCCAGACGGGAAGGATAATTTTTGTATTTTTTCATTGTCCATATTTTTACCCAATCTTGCACGATTTATCAATAGACATTCCTTTAAATTGTTATAAATTTCCAAATTAAACGAAACAATTTGTTAAATTACTAAGGAATTTCATATCCCATTTCGATATAAAAAAAGCTCTGAATTCACTTAAAGGTCCCGTGTGTTCTTAATAAAATATAAGAGCAAAATAATACATTCTTGGAAAGCTATGCAATGCTGGGTGCTGAGTGAACTTGGAAAAAAAGTCATGCTTTAAAAATCCAGTAAAAAAATATTCTTATTAAGTATTAAGTATTTTTTTTTATTTCTAAATTTATAAAATTATTTCTCATTATAAACTTATTAAGCACACGTTAACCGGTGACGAGTTAACTTGCCTTTTCATGTCCAAACGTTGTTGACGAGTAAACTTGCCATTGTACTTACATTATCTATTTCAATTTATGAAATCCAGAATGACATAGAATCTTGCAAAAGCTTGACGCATCCTTCAGAATGTTTTACTTTACTTCCACATTCAATTAAAAATAATAGCCGGAGACGTGACAAAGTTTCTGAGTAAAATTACCAGTCAACAAAGTGTTAACATTTAGCTATTTGAAGAATGTAAATACTTTGACTATTTGAAGTCCGATATTTTGGTGTGTTTATCATTTGGTATTAAGTCATTGTATGAATGAAAAACTGATATATTTTTAAAAGTTTTTAATCTTGTTATAGATTCCTGAAAGTCTTCTAATTCAATTGAAGGATATTCATAACGTATCAGATTTTATAAACAGATTCGTAACAACGAATTTATCATCTCCTTTTAGTACAAGTATGTATTAAATAACTAAAAATATTTATTTTATGAAATTTTGAATTGAATTTGTCTAACTTGATACTGCAGAGAAAGAAAGTATGGTCAAACTATCGGAATATGGTAAAATTTACCATATTTCTGGCTCTATGGGAACACTAAAAATTCGATAACTTTTACCGGAGTGGTTTAGTCATGATTATAATGAAATTAATAATAAAAGAGCGTTTGGTGAATGTGGTATATGTGTTAAAATTTGATGAATATCGTAAAATTTGGTGAATATGGTAAAATTTAGTAATTTTATCATGATACGTTAAAACATCGCATAAAAACCATTTATTCGGTTAAATTTACTTTTCACTTTTTTTTTTTACTAAATGTGTGGTAATAAGAACTAGAAATTTAAAAACCAAAATGTATGGTAAACCGCTGCAATGTAAATGGAAATATTACCGACTGAATCATTTAAATACCATATATTTCGGTTTTATTACCAGAAATATGGGCGAAAGGTTTCATTACCATATCGCATGGTAATTTTACATAAACTTTTTTCTCCATGCGAGTTAAGACACTAATTATATTGCAAAATTCTTCATAATATTTTATTATATATAAATATAAATAATTTTATTATATATAAATATATTATAAATATAAACTAATAGGATATTTTTTTCCCAAAATATTCCTTATAATATTTTTGTGATGGGTGCAGTCTTTGATTATCACATTTTGGGCCGGGGTTCTATTCCCCTTGCTAAAGGCTCAATGTCTACTCGAGCTGCTCTTTTTCCGAACATATATTAGTTGTTTCAAATTCACTCGAATTTATATTTATAATTACAACCGTCGTTGAACGGCTGACCCAATTTTTGAGCTTACGACTACTACTGTTCAACTTCGTAGCCTTGTAATTTTGAACCCAATCCAGAAGACAAGGAAACTCCTGAATCCTGTAGTGGGAGAAATTTGCCTTCGTGGAAGACTTTTTGATGGAACTAACGTTACATGGAGAGGAAAAGCACGAAAACCTCCCATGGTTAGCCTGACGGGGGACTCTAACCCACGAACCTACTACCATTGAGGATATTTTACGTCGGCAGGGTGATCCGTGCGAGCCGGATGCGGAATTCGTATCGGGAAGCCATCGCTGGGATTCGAACCCTGTTCACCACATTGGAAGGCGAATGCTCTATCCCCTGAGCCACCATGGCTCTCCATATTTTGAGAGCGGTTTCTCCTAACATAGAGAATAAATGAGGCATGAGCCGTGGTGGCTTAAAGGGTACAGCACTCGCCTCTTAATGAGATGTCTCAGGTTCGATTCCTAGAGATATCTGATCTATAAACATTCTGCTCCCGGCTCGCATCAACCACAATGCTGACATAAAATATCTTCAGTAGTAGACATCATATGTTAGAATCCCCTTGCCATCGGGCTGACCCCTGGAGGTTTTCGCGGTTACCCTCTCCATGTAACGCAAATGCGAGTTAGTTCTATCAAAAAGTCATTTACGAAGGCTAGTTTGTGCCAATGTTTGATCCAGGATTTTCCTTGTCTTTTAGATCGGGTTCAAAATTACAAGGCTACGAAATTGAATAATGATAGTCGTTAGAACACAAAAATGGGTCGGCAGTTCAATGCCGGTTATAAAATAAAATTAAAAAAATAATAAATGGGGCATGATTTTGAGGGTTAAAATTCTTGAAAAATAATATTGTATTCCTTTTGAGTGTAAGGTTTATTTAATTTTAAAATTTGTTTTTTCTGACATTTTATTTCAAAAAATCCACATCGAAACAAATATTTAAAAGTGTATAATCAGCAGACAATCTTTCGAGAGGGCAACTTGGTGAAACTAACTTCTTGGCCAATTTATATTTTGTCTTGTCAAACTCTTGTTGAATTGAGCAGTATAATATTGCCAAAGCTGATAAAGCCCAAAACTTTGTTTTTTCTTTATGTTTTCATATACAGGTTGTCCCAGGATTATTGGGACAAACTTTAATGGGGGGTAGGGGACATCACAAGGACTCAGATTTGCATAGCAACCCATGGTCGCAAACGCCTTCCTTCGCTGCTAAATTGTGTTGTTCAAAAGATGGATTGGGCGTGGTGGGTCAGTTCTCTGACCATCATGTTCTACTGATTTAAGCGACGTAGATTTCTTTCTTTGAAATGCTCTTGAAAGTACTGTGTACGCCATTACTGTGGATTCCAAAATAGATCTGATAGCAAGAATCATATGTGATGCTGCAGATGTCCAGCAAAATCCAAGTGTATTTGAGTGAGTCCGCCTATCCATAGTCCGATGGTATAACGCATGCATTGCTAGCAAAGAAGGAAACATCTTTTGTAACATTTTCACTTTCATCTACCACAACATATGTAATATCTTTGACCAATAAATACTTCAAACGATTTCAGTCTTGTATCTCTTTGCTTCTTGTACTTGGCATACTACTTTCCCATGACGGTTCCGACCATGGGTTTCCATGCAATTCTTAATCCTCGTAATGTTCCCTACCTCTAAGTTTGTCCCAATAATCCTGAGACACCCTGTATAAATATATTATTTACAATCATTAATTATAAACTAAGAAATTTTTACCATTCCAGGTTCAACTTCCTCTATTGGTGGCAGTAAGTATCAAAACTCTGTTTAATATTTTTAAACAATTTATTAAAAAAAGTATTTTAGATAATTGATTTATAAAAGTTATAAATCAGATTTCTAATTTTTATAATCATTTCAGGAAATGCTCTAGCTGGTGGTAAGCAAAATATGTAAAATTTTTTGCATTTAATAAAAATTAAGATTATATTTTTGATAAATATGCAATCATTTTATTTTTATTACCTTAACGTTAGCACCACGGCCAACTCCATCATTTGCACAACCTGCTGCTTGTCAGCCTGAAGATCAAATTGTTGAACTTGAAAAGCCCGAAAGAAGTGATGTTATGTATTGGCCCTCTTGTGTAAGAGTACGTCGCTGTGGAGGCTGCTGTACTAGCAAAATGCTTAGTTGTAATCCAGTTGCAACATCAACTATTTCTATAGCGGTAATTTAGCTACACAATAACTGTAGTAGAGTAAATTCTTAAAATTTTGCGTACACGGAACCCAAATTAAACATCATAAAAACAATTAAATTTCTTCAGTAATAACGTGGTCTCTTAAAATTTTTCGAGAAAAAATTATTGAGAGCAAGATGTAAAGATGGGTAAATTAAAAAAAATGTACTTGATACAATTAATTTTCGATACATTCATTATTAAAAAAAACTTTGTTTTAGAACTTTTATAAATAAGTATACTTTTTATCTGTTCTAAAATGTTAAGAAAGCGAAAGCATAAAATTTTGTCTGAATATACTTACGGTAAGGTAAGGAAAGTTTAGAATAAGATTTTAAAGTTTTAAAGTGAATAATTACATTTATTTCACCGTTTTTGTCACTTTTGCGTGTCAGAATTCTGCTGTGAATTACTGTACTGAAACCAATTTATGCAAAACTACGTTTTCCTCCTGCGTGTACAGTTTACGGGTTATCTAAAACTATGAAAAATAAATGTTTAATTCTTTTAAGTAGGCATTTATAATTTTAACTATTTCACAAAAGCACAGGAACAATGTCGAAAGAAAAAGTGGAAAACTGTAGACAGTCAAAACTATTTTAGCATATACTTTTCGAATGTAACATCATTCAAGTTTTTTAAAATATTTATTTGAAAAATCGCAGTTACATAGTATATTTGCTTTAAAAAATTATGCCTTTCCAGCTCTCTGACTTATTTTTAAAGCCTAACTTAAACATTGCCTTATTGTCGAGAACTTTGCAATTAAAGCTTAAAGTATGATTTTTTAATTGCGATTAAATCATATGTATGCTAAAAATAAGCATCTTAATTCTTTTAAAAACTGAAACAGAGTATTTATATCTGCATAAAGCGTCATAGAATAATTGTATCACAGTTATAAAGTAGAGTATCTTTGTTTTTAAAAAACTTATGATTTCCAGCTCTACAGCTCTTTTAATCCTAATCTAAACAATACCTAAAGGTCTAAGCATTTCAAATCCGATTTTTTATTCTAAATAAATCATGCACTGAGAAAAAAGTGTGGTTAAAACCATCACAATATGGCAAAATTTACAGTGTTTCTGACTCTATGGGAACAACAGAAAGCTCGGTAATTTTTACCGATGCGTTTTAGTAATGATTTGGAAGAAATTAGCAACTAATTATGGTTTGATATGGGATAAAATTTGGCAAATGAGGTAAAATTTAGGAATTTTATCTGCATACCTTAGATGATTGGAATAAAAAGTATTTATTTGGTTAAAAGTACTTTTCAGATTTGTATTTGTTACTAAATGTGTGGTTATAAGAAATTTTGAAAAAAATAATTTCCGGTAAACCGATATGAAACGGAAAAATTACTTAATGAATAGTTTAAATACCGCATATTTAGATTTCATTTGAGAAAATTATTGTTTTTTTAACCAGAAATGTCACTGCCATACAGTACTGCAATTCATATGCAAATTTTTTCTCCGTGTATCTACAACAAAATGTGAGTAACATAGCTTTCCTAAAATTTAAAACAGAACATTTTATTTGCCTAAGTATCATTTTGTTTCAGTGTATTCATCTTTGTTTGTCTTTCATTTTTTCTTTCTTTATTTTTTTTCTTTTGTGATTCCCTGATGCAAATAACATTTTTTTTAAATCAGCAAATATTTTTGAACGTGAAAGTCAAAATTCAAAATTTCAAAAGAAATTAAAAATTTTGAAGCACTTCGAATTTTCAAGATCATATCATGTTACTTCTTCAATCGACACAGAATTCCAAGTTTAAAAACATGTTATAGTTATCTGTAAGTATAGATTCTTAATTTATTCCTCTACGTCCTGGGCTGCGAATTCACAGAAAAATAAGAAAAATTGGCAGCAAAGCAATTTCAGTTTTAACTTGTTTTTCAAGAAGAATTAATTATCCGTCACTGTTAGGACTTATTAACAGCTTTAACATATATACACTGTAAAAAATTTTACTATATCCTAACACTAAAAATAGTGGCATCTAATTTATGCCAAAAGTGATGCAGTGAAACACCTCGAATGTTCCTTAACACTACATTCGATGAAAATTAGTTGGCATTCTTTTTGGTGCTCGGTTACACTGAAATTTGTAATAACAATAGATATGATACACATAAGAGTCAGTAAATTTATTTTTACTATACAATTTAAAGTAGAAGCAGTTAGTTAAAGATGCCCATCAGACTAATTTTTAAAATAAAATTATTCTGTAAATCAAATCTACGCATAACATAGAAATAAAATTAAACCGAATTCAAATTAGGCTTAACAGTAAAGGTTTTATTAAGGCTTAGATAGAATTAGGCTTAACTGTAATTATATATTATAAAATTATTCAGTTCACATATATTTAAAAACTAAGATACAATTATTCTTATTACACAATTGAAAACAAGTGTGTATTTTAACAAGTGTGTGCTACTTCTGCAGGCTTCTTTTGCTTCAGTAAATGTAAAACAGAGTAGAGGACAAAAACAAACTTACACCAACGAGTACTCAATTATAAACAATCTAGTAACGATAGCCAAAGTACAGCAATATTTGTTTACTTTGTCAATGCCTATTGTGTGAATTCTCGTGAGCTTGGTGTTAGCTTTTTCTATTACAAGCGGATAGATCTAGGAACACCCTTTAAATTGCATAGGAACGCTTTATTTTGTGCTAACTTAACATAAAATATTCCTTCACACAATTCTTAGAATTGTTTAACATCAATTTCGATTAAGTATTATACCACAAATTTTACAGCGTGCAAAACCATTGCGTATGTTTTAATTCTACTGAGAAAAATAATAAACATTAAACTGTGTTACTAGCAATTTTTTTTTCTTTTCTGGAGAATTCTGAGTCCTGTACGCCTTTAAAAAAAGATGCAGACAGCTTTCTAGTATTTTTATGCATACAAAAGCAGTTTTTTTTCTGATTTCAGAAACTTTTACTTAACATCTTAAGCACTTGAGTTAAGAATTTACTTTTACTTCACTTTATTTTTCAAACTTCTAATTATTGTAACAGATTTTTAGCAATTTAAGCATTTTCAACATATTTTAATAATTCTATTTCATAAGCTTTGTCAACACTCGTTCAGCTTCTTCATGTATGCTACAAACCAGAGTTGGCCAAAAATGTAATCGATTACATTTTTTGATTACAGTAATCAATTACTTGTAATCATGATTACAATTTTCAAATATTTTGATTACAGCTGTAATCATGATTACAATATTGATTACAGTAATCAATTACTTGTAATCATGATTCCAAGTAATTGCGATTACAAGTAATCACAACAAAAACGATTACAAGTAATTATGATTACAAGTAATCAAAATATATGATTACATGTAATTTGATTACATGTAATTTGATTACATGTAATTATGATTACATGTAATCTAATTACACGATTACAAGACTATTGTATTCTTATAAATGATTATATTTTACAGTAGATAGTAGAATGTATTTTATAATGATACATTTTGCACGTATTAACATGTACTGCATTTTGTACGTATTTGTATACGTACAAATGAATGTAACTGAAATGTATGTACATATGATTTTATCTAGTGCATATGTTCAGACATTTTAGTATCACACACATGTACATACACTTATATTGTAGGTATAAAATATATGTACGTATGTATATAGATAATAATTACGTATGTATGTGCAAACAATGTAGGCATGTACATTTATACACAATGAATATATGCATTTTATGCAAATATTTGTGTATGTAAAATGTATATCTATGTTCATGTACGCATGTATATACAAGTACTTGTGTTTGTACGAACATACATACATTGTCTGTACAATGTATGTCCCATGCATGTATGTGCAATTTATTTATGAACAGTACAATATATGTATGCATGTACAATATAGGTATATCTGTAGGATGTACAATATATGTATGTATACATGTACATGATATGCATGTCCAGTGTATTTATGTACATGTACATAATATGTTCATGCTCAATGTAAGTATCCAAATATGCATAATACATTTGTGAACTATTGTACGTACATTGGGCGTATTTATATTTCACATATATTCATACATGCATTCGACATGCATAACGTACGTACATACACACATTTGAGATGCATATATTGTACAGATGTATATACATATAGCGTACAGATGTATATACATATAGCGTACAGATGTATATTCATATAATGTACATATGATGAAATGAACATATAATGTTCATATAATGTACATATGTGTGTACATATACAGTACGTATGTGCATAAATATATTGGGCATAATTCTTTCGTACAAATTTTACATGTGTACATGCATGCTATCCCTATCTATGCATATGGTGCAATGTATATATGTACAATGAATGTATCCACACATGTACAATACACGTATGTTCCATGTATGCATATCCATATGTACTATATATGCACGTACAATACATGAATGTATGTACATACATTGTACATGCGTACATACATTACACGTATACATATGTACATTACATTTATGTCTAAATATGTGTACAATGCAATAAATAAAATGCATGTAAGTTAACTTTTAATGACTCAAGCAAGTTAAATGACAAAATCAAACGATATTTAAATTTAGTTTTCAGCTTTAATTGTTCTATATCATTTTGAAATTCTCTGAATAAAAAATTATTTTCAGGTATTTTCATGAAATGTTTGACAATACAGATTTATTTTTTTTATAACATAATGCATGATTCATAGAAATTTTTTAAATGGTAAGAAAAACGGTAAATTTTATGTGTGGAATTAATATTTAGAAATTCCAAATAAAATTATCGTTTGCTTTCTAAAAAATATGAGGTCGAGTTTCATATACCTTAGAATAATTTTAAAACAAATTTTAATAACTTTACTCATATAAATTTTTTTAATGTATGCACAATGTATGTGTATATTGTAATTACATATATTTAAATGTACGCACGTATTTGTACATTACTTGTAATTATGTACATGTATACGTTGTATGCACATGCATACATTGTGCATATAACTATTTTTTTGTACATCCATGCATTACATGCGCATAAGTATTAACAAAGTATGTAGTTATACAAGTACATACGTAAGTTGTACATAAGTACATACTTTGCGTGCACATATATCGATGTACATATAAATATGCATGTATACATGTACGCATTTTATTTACGCAACTATGTGCATATATTGTACCTTTAAATAACATTTTTACATATTGTACGCAAATACGTACAATTTTATATACAAACGTACATTGTATATACGTGCTATTATCGTAAATTTATACAATATATGCACTTAAGTACATAAAAGCATGCAAACGCATAAACATTATTTTCATATACGTTCATACATACATTGTCTATGTATACAAAGATACAAAACATTGCCTTTTTGTACAAACTAACATACATGCGTACATGTATCATAAATGCATAATTATATGTACTAAGCATATGCGCATTGCATTAAGTATATTACAATATAATTATGAATATTGTACGTACAAACAACGTTTGTGCATACATTGTATGTATAGGAATCGCAAATTGTACGTTCATGCGTGCGTACATTCTATGTACATAAAAATATGTAAACACATGAATACTTACATAAAAAATTTGACTATAGTATACAATCGTAATAACTTGTAATCGTATAGTTTGATTACAAGTAATCACAATTACATGTAATCAAATTACATGTAATCATGATTACATGTAATCATATATTTTGATTACTTGTAATCATAATTACTTGTAATCGTTTTTGTTGTGATTACTTGTAATCGCAATTACTTGTAATCATGATTACAAGTAATTGATTACTGTAATCAAAATTGTAATCATGATTACAGCTGTAATCAAAATTTTTTGAAAGTTGTAATCACGATTACAAGTAATTGATTACTTGTAATCGTGATTACAAGTAATTGATTACATAGCTGTAATTATCTGTAATCAATTACAGTTGTAATCGATTACTGTAATCAACGGCCAACTCTGCTACAAACCCTCAATTGTGATACAGCGTATCAAAACTACAAGCCGATATTTTACAAATCCAGCTTGTATATTTAGTTCCATATACAAGCTATTCTGTTTCATAATTTTAATCTATATTCCTTAAAGTTTTCAAGTATGACATAGACCTTCAAATGTAATACAATGTATCAAAAACTACAAGCTGAATTTTTACAAATCCAGCTTGTATATTTTGTTCTATATTCAAGCTAGTAGTCTGCTTCATAACTTTAGTCAATATTCTTCCAGGTTCTTCAAGTGCGATACAATCCCCTATCACCACACGCATTTGAGGACCAAGGTTCACATACATTTACTTTAGAACAACATGATCGATGTGCATGCGGTTGCAGGGAGCAGCCCAGTGATTGCACACCAGAACTTCATGAATACAGAGTAAATGAATGTAAATGCGTTTGTCGAAACCAGGAAGAGTCTTCAACCTGCACTGGCCCCAAAAAGATCTGGGACAACCAGGAGTGCATGTGCAAATGCAGACGTGTACAACTTTGTTCAACTGGACGCCTTTACAATATTCAGAAGTGCAAGTAAGGAATTATGTAATTTTTTGCTATTATGAAAACACGCGTGCTGTTATTACTTATCCCCCTTGGTTTAGACAAACTAAACCAACTCCAGGAAACCATGATGATTTATTAAATCCAAAACTACATCCCCTTCATTCAACAGCTGAGCCGCAGAGGCACCAATAAAATCTAAGATATAGGAGGGAGAAGCGATGGCAGAACAGCGGTCTTCTCGTTTCCGTTAAAAGTTAGACTCCTCATGGGACCAGTCCTAAGTCTAGATAGTCTGAACAAGTCTTGGACAGAAGCACTCCAGTAACAGTCCAAGGGACTCGGCGGCATACCAGGCATGTTTGGGCTGGGTGCTCCAAGTGGAGTTTATATTAGCCAAAAACATGGAGTGGACCTCAGAAGTTCTCATTTCGGCGGAAGGGGCAGTGGGGAGTTTGCTACAAACGTGTTTATAACCCTATAAAATAAATCTCCCATAAAAATTCCTACGAAATGATTACGTCATAATCTCATATAATGAATCAAATACAATTTTGAGCAGTAAATACAATTTACTTTTAACTTTCTTGTCAAAAGCCGTGATGGCAGAGTGGTTAAAATACTAAGCTGTTATTCTAAAGGATCAGAGCTCTATACTCTGTGATGGTTCGAAGTCCACTCAGCTTCAGATCGATGGGTACCTGCTTACATGCAAAAAAAGGTGGCTGGTGCAAGATGCTAACCGTATTGCCGCCATCATGCCATCGCAAAATTGCGGAGCCGTAACCCTTCTGGCCCTTTTGGTCAACAACTAGCTGTTACGGGAGTGGTTTACTCATTTATTCTTGTCAAAAACGAAATAAGTAATATTCTAGAATCAAAAATTCCGAATTCTATTAACATAAATTTTAAGTTCAGAATATTCAAAATTTTTATAACTCATTAGTGGAATAAAAATTTTAGGTTGAATTTCTAACTAAGTTATAAAAGACTCCAATAATAAATTATCTTCGAATAGCGTTGGTTGAATGTATTAAGGACATTAAGAACTTTATGCTTGTGGCTTTATTTTGACGTTCTCTATCATTGAAATTTCTTATTATCTGATTAGATGACTGATCTGCAATTGTAACTTTTTATTTAAAAAAAATAAGAAGATGCATATAAGCACTTACAAAGAAGAAATCATCTAATTTCTAATCTAATTCATTTTCTGCAAAGTATTTGCAATCAAATTGAATCTATGTAAAAATCATATTTTAATATTATAGGTATTGGGATCTAATTTTTCAATATAATAGATGTTGGTATCATATTTCAATAAAAATAGATGTTGGGATCAAATTTCAATATAATAGCTCTTAATGTCATAAGTAATAAAATTTGCAAGGAAATTTAACTACACTTTAACCTGAACCTATTTTTACATTCTACTTATGCTTGGACATTTTATTGAAATTTTTGGTTTAATACTAGCAAAATAAATAGCAATGTTTTTTTTTTCCTTTATGTATTTCTCATTTTGATATGCTTCATTAAATAGTTAACTTCCTTTTGCATTTGAAACATTGAATATAAAATTGTAAAACTACAAAAGGCAAAAATATGGTACTAAATTTTTTGCTTTACATGATGAATTCGAATTTTGGAAGCATTGTAACTATTCTATAATGCGTAAATACATATACTATTAAAAACTATTTTAAATAAGTAATAATAATGTAAGTTAAGTAGCGTAATTCTTGGGTAAAAAGAAGATTCAAATTTTTCAAAATGTATTATGGTTAAAACTAAACTCGGCACAGAATAAATTTATATTACATATGATTCATTGAAATACTTCTTTTAACTAAAGTTGATAGAAATTGCTTTTAGTTTAATTACCTAAATTACCATAATAGTTAATTATAATTATTAAGTTTTTGAGCACATCAGTTAAATTTGTTTCGAAAGTAAAAACAGTTAAAGATATATTAGTATGGTAAATATTTTATGTTTAGGCAATCAATAAAGAAAAGATATAAATTTAGATTATATTATTTATTAATATGCTCACAATATAAAGTTTTATAGTTTACATCCATAGATCATGATAACATTTTTATGGTATTTATAAGTCCTTAGTGTCCACGACTAAGGGATTACTTCCTTTTCTTTTAAATTTATTAGCTGAAGGAATTTATGTTTCATAATAATAATTTCTATCACGTATCACAAATTACCAGTTTCTTTTCTATAAAATTGGCTCTAAATTTTTTCGTGATCACTGTTATTTTTTTATCATTTTTCAAGGTTCTTTTTGTAGCTGTACAATTCCATTTTGATATACTGATTAAATTACATTAAGAAAGATGTAAACATTCTATGCATGGTAATTCAGAACTAGTGTTCAAAAATCCACTTGCAGATCAGGCATATAATAACAATCAAAAATTACACCGGGATATAATTCCATCTAATCACAAATGCAATGCAGACGCATGCGCACTACATACCCACAAAACCAGAGGCTGGTCATAAATAATTATAATTTATTACTCAAAATGAAATTTTAAAGGTGTTCGAAGTTGTTGCGGTGGCGGGGAGTGTATTACAAATGCTGCAATACAATCCTCGCAACAACGGCACATACATCGGCAAACTTTTGTAAGAATGCCTTGTGCATCGGAAAAAACTCCAGCAACAGCAACAATGATTCGTGCTGCCAAATGAAAGTTCGACCCCGTAGTGATTTCGTACTCCAGGGTTTTCGTGTAAACCCAAAAAAAATCAATACGAGACAGATTAGGTAAACGAGGTGGCCACAGGATAGGTCATGAAAATAATTCTTTTTATATGTTATGAATCTTTCTTTTTTAACATGTTCTTGATCTGCAAGTAGATTTTTGAACAATTGTTTACAAGTAGACTTTGGAATAATAGCTTTTTAACATTATTTTAAAAATAAAGATTTTTAAAATTAGTTTCAAGAAGATAAAGAAACCTTGTGGCTTTCTATTATTTTACTATATTCATTTCACATTATATTGTAAAATCTGTTCCATTGAGGTTGAAAAAACCCTCCTTCACATATCACAAGCCCAACTTAATATGTTGTAAAAGAAGCATGTTTTGTCGATTCATCTACATTATTATCTCGAAATGTTTACAATGAAATAAATCTAAACATTTTCAGAAATTCTAATGAGCATAGATGACTAAAGATTTATCTATTGACCAAGAGAAAACTCACTACCGAAAACTTAAGCATTAAACTCATTTAATTATTCTAATTTTGATTTAAATAGTAAAAACAAGTAAAACGCTGAGACCTATGTCACTGTAAAAACGGCATAAAAAAATCAAAATATGCTACTATGATTTTTAAATAAAAATACGATTTTTCAAAAATCCCTTGTGAAGACATTTTCATAGTAATAAATGAAGCACTTTTCCCCAACATTTTAAACATATCGAAAAAATTTATATTTAAGAATGTTTAGTACTTTTGATATTGTGTTGAACATTATTGCCTCAAAATGTTTAGATTTAGAGTACTATCTTCTGAAATTCTAAATAACTAATGACCAAGTTACCCCCTTTAGAAAACTGGAGTGTAATTAGAAAAGCATATACAGTTATTGTATAATTAAATGGAACAAAATATGCATAGAGTAAAAACCTTTAGACTCTCTGTATTTATAAAAACAGCATCAACAAACGCAAAAATTTAAAAGGATCTTTTATTTATATGGATTTTCAAGAAAAAAAGTGCGTTTTTTTACTTATTTATTTATTTCGAAAAAAATTTATTTTTTTATAGCAGTGAATAAAATATTTTTACTCGACATAAAGCACATAAAAAAAAAGAATATTTAATTAAAGCTTATCAAATTTTATTTGGTTTGTTACAAATATTTTAATACTACAATTTAGATGAAAATCATTGACCCCTGAATTACTAATCTGTTTATACAAAAATTAGTCTCTTATACCCTGGATATATACTTATTAAACATACATAAACACATTAGTTACCTGACAGTTGTTTGGTTATATTATGCAATCTTGCTTTTAGGCTTTAAGGTATTAAAAGGAATTAGGAGCTTTTAGTAACTCTACCTGTTTATCATTTAACATTCTAAATCTGCTTGCTTAACATTACACTAATGTTTGTAAGAATCGCAACACCTTAAATAAATCATCAGAGAGTAATGAAATTCATTCTATATATTACTAATAGTGGTACAAATAAATACACGCAAATGCTTTATAATTCTAGTCATTTGCAGGTCTTACCTCACTTTACATTTCATGCGAGTTTGGTTCAATTTGCGTAATTCTTCCATAATGCTGCAATTTTTACAAACATGAGTGTGTATTTTATCTGAGGGTTTAATGTCCTCTTTTTTATTTATTACAAGTAACAAAGAATTCTTATATATAAAGCTATGCTTTTCAAATTTTTGCACTTTTTAACAAGACTCGAGCCTGATTAAAATAGCTTTTCAAAAATTACTTTTGTTGATAAACGTATTCTATCAAATATGTGGAGAAAATAAAGCAAATATATTGAGTTTTAATGAAATTTGAACGTCTTTCCCACTGCACAGAAAAGTTAACATTACTTTAAGTTAAAAATTACTTTTGTTGATAAATGTATTCTGTCAAATATGTGGGGAAAATAAAACAAATATATTGAGTTTTAATGAAATTTGAACGTCTTTCCCACTGCATAGAAAAGTTAACATTACTTTAAGTTAAAAATTACTTTTGTTGATAAATGTATTCTATCAAATATGTTGGGAAAGTAAAACAAATATATTGAGTTTTAATGAAATTTGTACGTCTTTCCCACTGCACCGAAAAGTTAACATTACTTTAAGTTAAAAATTACTTTTGTTGATAAATGTATTCTATCAAATATGTGGGGAAAATAAAACAAATATATTGAGTTTTAATGAAATTTGAACGTCTTTCTCACTGCACAGAAAAGTTAACTTAATATAAGTCTGAAACAAACATAAAAACATATTAAAAAAGATTCATAA